CTCCAAGACGGCCCAAGAGCCCTCCAAGACGTCCTCCAAGAAGGCCCGAGAGGGTGAAAATTGCCTCCAGACGGCCAAGATGACCTTCAAAATGCCCACGCGTTCCCCGAAGGCTTTCCAAACCGATTCGGGGAACACATGATCCGATGGCTTGGCAGGTCTGGCCTCACCGTTCGGCCACATCGGCGCTTCCAAAAAAGGCAGGGGGCGGCGGTGGTTCGCCGTAGGCGTCTTCGATCCGCCGCCCCCTGTCGATTCATCGCAGGGATGCCCGGCGTGTTGGATCTCTTCGGTTCTGGTTTTGGTTCTGTTTCCAAAAAAGAACTCTCCCTGAGGCGTCGGCCCCGCCCGCCGGGGTCCCGGAATGGCCCAGAAATGGTGGTTCCAGAAGTTGTTCCTGCTCCAGATGGCTCCAAGATGGCTTCCAAGATGGCCAAGATGGCCTATGATGGCCTCCACGTTCGCCCAAGATGCTCCAAGATGGCCTCCAAGACGGCCCAAGAGAGACCACGATGCCTCCAAGTTCGCACAAAACACCTCTCAGACGGCCCAAGACGGCCCCAGAGGTCTCCAAGAGGCCCCCAAGACGGCCCAAGATGCCTCCAAGAGGTCCTCCACGCGAGCCCGAAGAGGTCAAAGTCAATGTTTTCATTTGCTTTTTGAAGGATTTGGGCTGTTGTTCTTTTCGAGCCTTCCGACGGCTCACGACGGTCCAAGGAGCCCGAAAGACCGCCCCCAGAGCGCCCAAGAGGCCTCCAAGATGGCCCTATGACGGCCCAAGAGGGTCCCCAAGACGGCCCCAAGAGGGCGCCAAGACGGCTCCAGAGGCCTCCAAGACGCCCAAGACGGTCTCCAAGACGGCCAAGGTGGCCTCCAAGATGCTTCCAACACGGCCAAGATGAGCTTCAAGACGGCCAAGATGACCACTAAGACGGCCAAGATGGCCCAAGATGGGCCCGAGAGGTTGCGAGATTGCCCCAGAGGAGTCCAAGAGGTGCTCCAGGAAGGCCCGAGGGAGCCAAAATCTTCAATGTTCCTTAGGTGTTTGAAGGATGTCTGTTTTTCCTCGGTTTTGGTGTTACGGCCCAAGGAGTTCCGAAATTAGTCCCAGAGGCCTCCCAGATGGCTCCAGAACGACCCAAGAGGCCTTCAAGCCAGCCCAAAGAGGGCCCCAAGACGGCCCGAGAGGTCTCAAAAACGGCCAAGATGGTCTCCAAGATACCTCAAGACTGCCAAGATGACCTCCAAGACAACCAAGATGACATCCAAGACGGCAGAAACATCCCCAAGAGAGCGAAGGTGGCCCAAAAGGCGCCCAATAAGCCTCCAAGACGGCACAAGATGGCTCCAAAATGGCCTAAGACTGCCCAAGAGGGCCCCAAGAGGTCTCCAAGAGCTCCACTAGGAAGGCCCGAAGAGGCCGAAATCATTGACTCGCCTTTGGCTTTTGAAAGATGATTGCATGTTCTTCTTTTCAGCTCTCCGACGGTCCAAGACGGCCCAAGAGGCCCCCAACATCGCCCCAAGAGCGCCCAAGAGGCCTCCAAGATGGCCCCATGGCAGGCCAAGAGGCCGCCAAGAGGGCCCCAACAATACCCCAAGACGGCCCTTGAGAGTCCAAGATGTTTTCAAATTCGTCCAAGAAGCCTCCAAGACTGCACAAGATGGCGCCCAGGTGGCCTAAGACTGCCCAGGAGGGCCCCAAGAGGTCTCCAAGAGCTCCACCAGGAAGGCCCGAAGAGGCCAAAATCATTGAATCGCCTTTGGTGTTTGAAGGACGTTTGCATGTTCTTCTTTTCAGCTCTCCGACGGTCCAAGAGGGCCCAAGAGGCCCCCAACATCGTCCCAAGAGCGCCCAAGAGGCCTCCAAGATGGCCCCATGGCAGGCTCCAACAATACCCCAAGACGGCCCTTGAGAGTCCAAGATGTCTTCAATTTCGTCCAAGAGGCCTCCAAGACGGCACAAGATGGCTCCAAGATGGCCCAAGACTGTCCAAGAGGGCCCCAAGAGGTCTCCAAGAGCTCCACCAGGAAGGCCCGAAGAGGCCGAAATCCTTGACACGCCTTTGGTGTTTGAAGGATTCTGGTCTGTTCTTCGTTTCAACTCTTCGACGGCCCCAGACGGCCCAAGACGGCCCAAGAGGCCCCCAACATCGCCCCAAGAGCGCCCAAGAGGCCTCCAAGATGGCTCCATGACAGGCCAAGAAGCCCCCAAGAGGGCTTCAACAAGACCCCAAAACCGGCCCAAGAGGCCCCCAAGACGCCCATGATGGCCTGCAAGACTGCCAAGATGGCCTCCAAACTGCCCACAAGAAGGTCAAGAAGGCCTCCAACACGGCGAAGACGGCCCCAGATGGCTTGGAGATGGTCTTAGACTGCCCAAAAGGCCCGCCAGAGGCCTCCAAGACGGCCCAAGGAGGCCCCAAAGCTTGGAAAACACCTGGTCCGATAGCTCGCCCGACTCCGTGTTCCCCGAAGGCTTTCGAAACCCACTCGGGGAACGCGTGGCCAGATAGCTTGGCCAAGCTCAAAAACAACTTTCGACCACGCAGGCGCTTCTAAAAAGGCAGGGTGCGGCGGTGATGCGCCGAAGGTGTCTTCGATCGTATAGTACGATCTGGAATGTTACGGCATACCTGTTGCATGAAGGTCTTGCCTATGATATTAGATCAAACCCGCTGCCGCGGTAGTATCAGTAGTATAGCAGGTTTGGTATGGTGTGCTGGTTACGTTGTTTTATGATCGCTCGGTGATGCGATGTTCTGGTATGTCGTGATCTGAAGCAGGTCAAAGTCTGCGGTGTTATAGTGCAGTCTCTGCCGTCGTGGTAGCAGTCGTATAACAGCATATGGTATAGTTTCATGATCATGTGTCATGCTCTAAGGTTCGATGCTCTGCGATGCCATGCAATGCGTTGTTATGCCACCATGTGAACGATGTTTCGCTATGTCATGCTCTGTTCCGCCATGACATATACTTGTATGACCTATCATGCCGTGCTGCGTTCTGCTAGTTCATCACATGTCATGCCGCTCTCGGCCATGGTATGCGTTGGCATGGGTGGGAATGCTCCATGGTGCAATGCTGTGTTGTGGCATGTTATGGTGTGACATGGTATGGATATGATATAACGTGTGTTGTCATGGCACGGTGTGTTATGCACTGGTCTGTGTATGCTAAGGTGTGCTGCGTTCTGCTCCACCATGTATGGTCCGTTCTGCAACTGCATGCTCAAGGTTGCCCTGTTATGTTATGAAATGGTACGTCATGTTATGGCATGGCATGCTCGATTATGAAATGTTAGTGTGCTAAGTGATGTTCCGCTGCGTGATAATGCGTTATGCCGCGCGCTCTCATGGTATGGCTTGCCGTGGTACGTAATAGTCGAGTATGTGATGTTGTGGTTTGGCATGTGATGTTCTGTCACGGTGTGTAATGGTACGATATGTCATGGTCTGTTGTGGCCTAGTGCGCTATGATACGTCATGTTACCTTATGGTGTGTTCTGCTATTGTATGTTATGTTGTGCAGCGCTATGGTATGTTACGTGATCCACTCTGTCATTGCATGCGTTGCTATGCTGTGTGGTCGTATACTATGGTGTGCCATGTTATGGTGTGAGCTGATACGTCATGGCAGTATGCGACGCAGCGTTATGCTAATGTATAGAATAGTATGCAGTGCGATGTCATGGTATGACGTGACAGTATATGTAATACTATGTGCTGTGATGCGGTGTTGTGTTATGATATGATATGTTATGTTGTCGTATGCAAGTGTATGCTCACGTTTTGTATGTTATGTTCTGCTCCGCTATGCAATCGTATCCCATGGTGTGCGATGTGATGCTCAGCTCCATCCAGCTATGTCGTGTTCGTCGAAGGAGCGAGGCGGGGGTCTCGGGGAATTTTCGGTGGACATGGGGATCTGGCGGCCGTGGTATGCAGAGTGAGCGGGTCGACTCGAGGCGGGGGTCTCGGGGGATTCTCGGTGGACCTGGGGATCTGGCGGCCGCGGCACGCAGGGTGGGCGGGCCGGGAGGTCTGTTCTTACAATCTAACGATCCCAACCTGTCGGGTGGGGAGAAGTCCCGACTGGAACTCAAAACCCGATGTTTGCAAGCGATTTTCTGGCCGCATCGATTCGCGAGGGTTCCCAGAGCCGAAATCGAAGCAGAGATGCCCGCCGCTTTTTGTTCACGACGCCCCGATGTCAGGGGACCCGGGGGGAGGCGTCGGAGAGAAGTGGGGAGGAATGAGCGTGATGGAAAGAGGAGGGTCAAGGAAGGTCGAGCGAGGAGGAGGAGGAGGAGTGGGCCAGGGGAGAGGAGTCAGGAGTGAACCCAGACCTCCGACGAGGCGGCTTGTGCACGACGTGGGCCCCCCAAATCTCTCGACACCACCCCCACCACGAGAATGTCCGTCACGGGTCGTCTTTGGATGGGCCCAGAGCCCGAGAACTCCCCCGAGGGCCCGAAATCTCATTTTGTTCGGTCAGCGGCGACTTGGGTCCAAGACACCGTCGGGGTAGCCGAGGGACACATCGGGGCCAAATTGGGCACAGCAGGAGAAGGACAGGCGCTCAGGGGGGGGGGGGGGGGGACGCCGCGGGAGGGCGGAGCACGCTCAGGCCGTAGAGATCTAGTACGTGCGTGCCGGAGCACAAGCTTACAGGGGCAGCAAGCCAGGAGTGACAAGGCGAACCTGCGTACCAGGGCGCGGAAATTTGTGAAAAGCCGCGCAAAGTGGACACACGACCAGCCGCCATTGCTCTCCACGAACGACGCCCCAAAGGAGGCACACGGCTCCCCTGCCCCCTTGCGGTGGAGGTCAAAGTCCACCACCAGAATAGCCACCCCGACACGCGAAGTCGTTTAGTAAACGTGCCCGAGGAAGGAATCGAACGAGGCAGGGCTGTTTAATAAACGCCCAGGGCCGTTTTACAAACGCCAATTATCGGGTCCGGCTGATTTGTCCTCCCTTGATGCTCGGCCGGGCCACGCTCCTCGCCGACAAATTCGACCGGGTCCTCGGTGGGGTAGGTGCACCTGCGGCAGCAGGCGACGCGGGAGGAGGAGGAGTAGGAGGAGGATAAGGACGATGATGATGAGGAGGAGGAGTAGGAGGAGGAGGAGGAGGGAGGAGGAGGAGGAAGAGGACGATGAGGAGGATGAGGAGGAGGAGGACGAAAAGGAGGAGGAGGAGATGAGGAGGAGGGAGGATGAGGAAGGAGGAAGAGGACGATGTGGAGGAGGAGGAGGAGGAGGAGGAGGAGGAGGAGAAAGAGGAGGACGGGGGAGGAGGAGGAGGGAGGAGGAGGAGGAGGAGGAGGAGGAGGCGTGTCGCGCCGCGGCGGCACGGGTGACACGCTGCACCCTGCGAGCGGCTGTGAGCGTGCCGCTCCGCCTCGCGGGGCGGGAGGCTCGGAAAGGCGACGCCTGGGGACCCGAGCGTGCACCGTAGCGAAGACTCGACAGCGCAGAGGAGGAGGAGGAGGAGGAGGAGGAGGAGGAGGAGGAGGAGGAGGAGGAGAGAGGGGGGAGGGGAGGAGGGGAGAGGAGGAAGGAGGAAGAGAGCTGTGTGGTGCTCTGGGCGCTACTAGGGGGCTCCGGTGGGCTCTGGTGGTGTTCGGCGGGGTCGCGGGAGGGGGAAGGGGAGTAAAAAAGGAGAGCGGGGAGCGGCAGAGGGCGAAGGGGGGGGTTGGAGAGGCGGAGGGGAAGGCTTCCAGATGATCTCGACAGTGTGCCTGCAACTTTCGCCGATGAATGAAGGATTCTCGAAAGTGGTCGGAGCTTCAAGCAGGAGGGATAGGAGAAATGAAGGGAGGAAGGAAGGGAGAGAGGGAGGAGAAGGAGGACAACAGAGAGGGGGAGGAGAAGGAGAAGAGAAGGGAGAGGGGACAGGCAGGGAGGAGGGAAGGAGGAGGATGACAAAGGAGGGCAAAGGAGAAGCAACATTCAGCCGCTTCGATCCTGGACTGCTGGGGTACAGTGAGAGCCACTGAAAAAGCAGATGGGCAGGGAGGAGGGAAGGAGGAGGATGACAAAGGAGGGCAAAGGAGAAGCAACATTCAGCCGCTTCTATCCTGGACTGCTGGGGTACAGTGAGAGCCAGTGAAAAAGCAGATGGAGTGAAGGAGGGCACGTAGAAGTGGGGATGGATGGAGGGTAACGGAGGACGAAGAGGATGAAGAGGAATGGGGGGAGGACAGGAGGGACGATAGCGATCGATAGAGAGGCGTATCCAGGTCTCCTGAGCACGCCCTTCAAAGGACATTGCTCCACTTGCTTCTTGGCCGCGTGCTGGCCGTCGTCTGAAGATCGCTGGCCAGCTCGGGTCCTGAGCCCGCGCGAGGGCCCTGACCGACGCCCCCAGACCGCAGCCTGCAACGGTGGCGGTGAAACCGACGATGTGGACGCCCGAAATTGGTGCGGGAAAACATGCGATGCCCAACAACAAAAATTGTCCAATACAGACAACGGCCTCTGTTTGAGCAGGGACCGACCGTCCCGGCATTCCTATAGGCCTACCACGACATGTTCTTAGAACCAAACAATGTTCTAAGAACAAAAACAATATTCTTAGAACCTAAACCCGATGTATTCAAACAAAACAGTCCCAGCCAGAAATGTTCTAAGAACATTTCCTTGAAACCGCAAACGGTTTCTAGAACATTCTTTGGTAGGCCTATAGGCGAGCCAGGACGCTTCGCCACTGCTTGATCTGGGAGGCAGGCGGCCTTCTGTCTCAAATGGGCAGCATCTGCGGCGGCCTTCGGCAGCGAGTCCTGTCCAAATGGGCCGGACATGCTGTCGCTCTTCGTGCAGCCAATCCAAGTAGTCAGGATGTGCATGGGGCCTTGGAAGGCCATGCCGACACGTTTCGAGCGGGGCGCGGCCAGCTGAAGCGGCCAAGGAGGGGCCGAAGGGGAAGGATGTCAAGGAAAGTCGCTCCTCCTTACTGAAGGGGAACTGGGACACACAAATAAATACACACAAATAAAACGGTTCCCCATATTGTCCCATATTTTCTGGGTGTTTGTCTTCCCCCCCCACTTCCCATATTTTCCCATATTTTCCTGGGAGTTGACGATTAATTGTGTCTGTGTGTTTTTTCCCCTCCTGACTTACGATGCGGGTTGGCTGTGCCCACCCCCTCCGTGCCCGCCTAGATCGCCCCGAGACCCGACGGCCAGCCACGGGGGGGAGTGAGCAGGGGCGTGCCTCCCCAGCAGGCTCGGAAGTCCCCCGGGCCCTCTGAGAAATTGCCCCCGGCCTCCACCGAAGACGCAGAAAGCTTCTCAGAAGGCCGGGGGGCCTTCTGAGAAGCCCCGCCGCCCTCTGAGAAGGCCTTCTCCTTCTCACTTCCCCCCCTCGCTCGCCGCCGAGAGGCGACGCGCGGCGGCGGCGGCGGCGACGACAACCACTTCCGCCGCCCCTCCGCCGCCTTCCGCCGATGCAGGGATGTCATGGCCTTCGATCCTCGAAGACGGGGCCCTTTCTGGAACGCCTCATCGTGAGTCGGTCCTGTCCCTCCACAGGAGGAAAATTCAAGAATAGTCCAAAAATAGTCTGGAGACGACTTTTTGTGACTATCTTGAACCATTTGGGGATATTTCTGGGCAACCTTTCGCATTTCGCCGAAAATCCCCCCGTGTAGGGGGACAGCCCGACCTGAGCCTCATCTCGATCGCGCCGAGACGACACGCGGCGGCGGCGGCGGCGGCCCTAGACCTCCGACGTCGTGATTTTTTCGAAACGTCGACCCCCAGAGGTGTGGACCCTTTCCCCGGGACCGGTTTCTCATCCTCAGTCGGTTTTTGACGGTCCCGGGGCCCGGGAAGGGCCCCCGGAGGCCGAAAATATCGAAACACCTCCCGTCGTGATTTTTTCTCGACGCCAGGAGGTCTGGGGCGACGACGGCTTCGCGGCCCCCCGGCGGGAGACCCGCGGGGCGCCGGGCAGTCGCAGCCGCCCGGCGGGCAGCCAGCGCCCTCCGCGGCGAGGGCCAGGAGCGCGGCCAGCAGCGCGGCGGGCGGCGCCATGGCGGGCGGAGGCTCCCCCACAAGAGGCCTCGCGGCAGCCGGGCAGCGCAGCGGCCCGATCGGCGGCCTGAGCCGAGCCCAGAGCCCCTGGGGCAAGGACAGAATCACGACGGGAGGCTCGTCGCCAGGTGCGGCCTCCGGGGGCCCTCACCGGGCCCTCCTCCTCCTCCTCCTCCTCCTCCTCTCCTCCTCCTCCTCCTCCTCCTCCTCCTCCTCCCAGAAACGACTCGGGATGCAAAGCCGGTCCTGGAGAGGGGGTCCAGACCTCTGGGGGTCGACGTCATGGAAGAATCATGACGTGAGGGGGTCTGGGGGGGATGGCTGCTGACGGATCTCGGGGCGGCGCTGGCGGTCGCCAAAGCGCGTCTGTCGAGCAGGCGGGTCGCGCCGGAGCTCGAGCACGGCAGGGCGTGCAGCAGAGGCCGAGGGAGGAGGCCCGAGCCGTCGAGAGGCGGCGGGGAGCGGCTCGAGCGCGCGGCCGGGCGGCCTCGGGCACCGGGAGCAGGTCAGGGGAGAAGCACGGGCCACCGCCGCCGAGAAGCCATGGGGAGGGGGCGGACCCCTGTAGTGACTACCTACCAGACCACCCCAACCCAACCCGAAGACCCGAATCTGACCCGAATTTCGGGTTGGGGGGGGTACGGATTCCATGTGTTTTTTCAAAGTTCCCCGACCCCCCCCACTGGAAATTGAAGGCAAATTGAAGGCTTCGGGTTGGGTTGGGGTGGTTTGGTGGATGGTGACGTAGGGAAACAAGAAGTGGCATAAACATAGAAACTCGGAGGTCCGCGCGGATTTCTCGGATCGGCGCTGGACCCTCTTCCCTGGCGCGCGGAGCGCGCCAGGGGCGGCGCCGGAGGCGCCGCCGGGGGGGGCCCAGCGCCGATCCGAGAAATCCGCGCGGACCTCCGAGTTGTTATGTTTATGTGACTTCTTGTTCCCCTACGGTGAGGGTCTTGACCTAAGTAACCCGAAATAAGGAACGAGGCCCCCTTGTTCCATAAGTTAAACTTCGATTTCCTATCGATGACATAAGGAACACCTGAGGCATGCTGTGAAACACTTAAGGAAGGCGGAGCCCCTCCCCAACCAGCAGGGTTCCTTCTTCAGGGCCACGACTGTACCCTGGGCGGTGGCACGCCGCCCGATAGCGTCGTCCTGTGCCGGGTGGCGCGCGGGCCCCCGTGCGGTGGGCTCTCGGCGGCGGTGGTCCGCGTGCTGCCTCGGAGGGTGCCGGGCAGGGGCGCCAGCCGGGATGCCCGGGAGGGGCTCTGCGGGCGGAGGGCCAGCAGAGCGGCCAGGCCCGAGGGGCGGGGCCGTCGTGGGCGCCAGCTGCACGTCAGTCAGTCAGCGAGCCCGTCAGTGGCCATTACTTTTGGCGTCTTCCTCCTCCTCCTCCTCCTCCTCCTCCTCCTCCTTCTCCTCCTGCGCATACTCCTCCATCCCTTTTCCTCCTCCCTGTCGCACCCCCAGACGTGTCCGTAGGACGGGCCGCGCGCTTCGCCTGAGACTTCCTCGCTATGTCTGATCCTGAAGCTTGAAATTCGCAACAGCGTCACGGATGCAGAGCGGGCGTTTTTTCAACAAAATGTGGCTCTCGCCTTAGCGACGCACGCATTCGCCTCAAAAAGTTTGAAGCAGTCCGCCACCGTGCCTCGAGGCACGAAGTGGAGCGCCCTCAGGTCCTCCAGGACTCGGGGATTCTAATATTCTAAGGGCTAGGGGTCCAACGACTCGAAATTTCCGGCGTTCCCGCGCGCTCTCGCGCGCTCTTGGGCTCGGTCGCACGGACTTTCCAAAGGCCACAAGGTCACAAGACAGGTCAGGGCCCCAAGAAGCGCCCAGGAGGCCTCCAAGACAGCCCAATAGCGCTCCAAGACGCCCAAGATGGCCCCAACAGTGCCCAAGAGGCCCCAAAGAAGCCCCAAGAGCGCTCCAAAAGGACACCCAAGAGGGCCCAAAGAAGCAAACATCATTGGTTTTCCGTTTGTTGTTCGATTTGTTTCGCGTTCTCGCGTGTTCGAGCTTCCGACGCTCCAAGATGGCCACAGAGGCCCCCAAGACCGCCCCAAGACGGCCCAAGAGGCCCCCAAGAGGGCCCCAAGACGGTCCAAGAGGGCCCCAAGACTGCCCCAAGAGGGGCCCAAGAGGGGGAACACAAACCGACAATTCGAGCCTTCCGGCCCAAGAGACCCCCAGGACGCCGCAAGGGTCCCCAAAGAAAGCCCAAGAGGCCCCCTAGAGGCCCCCTAGAGGCCCCCTAGAGGCCCCCAAGAGGTGTAAAAAGAGGCCCCAAAAGAGCACCCAAACGGCCCCCAAGAGGCCTCAAAACTGCCGACACGATGCCCCCGATTTTTGTTTGGGTTAGTGGCTCTCGCCTTGCCTTAGCGCCGCGCACAGTCGGTCTGACAGTTCGCAGCAACTTCAAGGATGGAGCAGAAGCAGCAGAGGCCCAGTCAAACCAACAGGTTGGCCCGTGAACGGGCGGGGCACGATATTGGAAAATCAGAAGCAGCGCGACCTGCATGCGTGATGTGAAGGACGTGCACGAGGAGTGAGCAAGCCTTGTGCCACTGGGGAAGGAAGGAAGGAAGGAAGGAGGAGGAGGAGGAGGAGGAGGAGGAGGAGGAGGAGGGGGAGGAGGAGAAGGGGAGGAGGAGGAGGAGGAGGAGGAGGAGGAGGAGGAGGAGGAGGAGGAGGAGGAGGAGGAGGAGGAGGAGGAGGAGGAGGAGGAGGAGGGGGAGGGAAGGGGAGAGGTCATGATGTAGCCCTCGCCTGCGGGCCGCGCACAAGCGTCCTGAGAGCTCGCGGCAGCTTCCAGGACGGAGGGCGGCTCCTTGTCAACACGTGGCTCTCACCTCAGCGTTGAGTCGGGCGTGTCCCCCCACAGGCGGATGTTGGATGACAGATGAAAAAGGTTCCAGAAATGCTCCAAGGCAGTCACCGAAATACTCAAACATATCGGCCCCTGACGATTGTTTTGACCACTGTGAGTATTCCTCCTGTAGAGGGACAGGCCCGACTTAACCTTAGCGCCGCGCGCATTCGTTCTAAGCAATCCCAGGGTTTCAAGTATTCGTATGGTCGAAGTCCGAGGAATTGCGTTCTGGTATGCTTCAGGGCTGTCAGGACGCAGACGTCACGGTGATTCGCTATGCTGAAGTCCCAGAGATGGTGATCTGGCGCGAGTTAGGATTGCCAGGGCGCAACACTCACATTGAACCGCGGCATTGGAAGCCCCAAGAACTGCGATGTGGTACATTGGGGATTCCCAGAAGCCTGTCTTCTAATGGGCCACGCCCCGCAGCGAAAACAAGCTCTTTTAGGGACCTCTGCAGAAAGAACTTGGAGAGAGGGTGTACTCCAACATAGTTGATGCGTTGTTGGTGTACACTGGTGGTGTACACTGGTCTTCCTCCTACACGCGACTAAATATCCTCCTCGCCACCCCGCGACCTCCCGAGAGCGGATATCAAGCAAGCAAGGGGCGAAGAGAGCTGACGCTGCTGGCGAATCGTCCTCCACCAGTCTCAGACGCAAGCAAGCAAGACAAATATCGTGGAATCCAAATGCAAAGCCGGCTGTTGCCCGAGGAGCAAGGAGGAAGAGGAGGAGGAGGAGGAGGAGGAGGAGGAGGAGGAGGAGGAGGAAGGAAGAGGCGGAGGAGGAGGAGGAAGGACGAGGAGCCGTAGTCATTTTGGCCCAAGGTTTTGAGGTTTTCCCAGGAAGCCAAGTGGATACCGCTGATCCGCAGCTTGCAGCAATCCTTTCGCCAGTTCTGCCCCTGCTTGAGCAGTCCACCTGGTTTGCCCCAGCTACGGTTTCTTTCTGTTCAGCAAGGAACCAAGGGAGCAGGCCCATACCTCGTGGTGGCGGGGTGGGACTGTAGGACGAGTGCCGTGTAATGCCTGGCACAGCGTTGCGAGAACGAAGTGTTTCCACTGTTGCGCATGAAACCCGAACGGAGTCAAGCCTGCAGCCAGGGCCCCAAGGACTCCCAGGAAGCGGTGGGCTGAGGGGGAGGCCGTGGAACCGTACTTCGAGGGAGGAAGCTTTCTCGAGGCAGCCTTGGATTCCGCATGACAAGCAAGTCTTGGAACCATCGCTACTGGAAGCAGAATCCGCGTCTCACGGATGAGAAGAAGAAGCGCTGGGTCGTGTCATGTCTATGCGTGTGTCTCGGAGTCAGAGAGACAACATCAATCACCAGAGAAGATTGCGCGCGGCTGGGCTGGGAGGCGGGGGTGCTGACGGCGTGCCAAAGCACGTCACGAACCTTCAGAACAGATTGCTGGGCCTCCCGGAGATCTTGCAGAGGCCCGCGGCTGCTGCAGAGGAGAAGGCCCCCGCAGCCGCTGGAGAGGCTCAAGGACAGCCCAGGGCAGCCGAAGAGGAGCTGAAGGAGGCGCGCGCCGAGGCCGCCGAGGCCTCAGAGGGGGTCCGCACACAGCCCCTCAGAGGGGCAGCCCCTCAGAGCGGCAGCCCCTCGGAGGGGGCTGCCGCACACCACTGCGCGGCATCGGCGCGCAGCCTCGCGGAGGGGCCGGCGGCTGCACGAGGGCAAGGGGGACGGAGGGCCCAAGCTGGAGGCGGGCGCGCGGGAGCTCAAGGACGCCTTGGACGAGGCACTGCTGCCGCAGGGAGCCCCGGCGGGCGGACCACCAGCACCCCGGCCCCGGCAGCCAGGCAAAGGCCTTCCTCCAGGGGCACCACTGCCAGCGAAGCTCGCAGGCGGCTGCGCCACCTGGACGGCGATGATGAAGGCCTCGCTTCGGATCGCTTCACGGTCATGATGATGGCGCTCGCTCCCGCGACAACAGGGCACACGTTGGCGCAGGGATGGCCAGGCTGCGAGACGTTGTTGGTGGCAGGAAGGCCGGTGGGAGAAGCAGGAGCGAGCTCAGGGAAACCAGGCCACAACAGCAGGAGCAGCAGCAGCTTTGACGAACCTGCGACACGTTCGAGGACCAGATCACCATCGGGTACCTTGCCGTCGTCGG